TTGCATGCCTGCAGGTCGACTCTAGAGGATCCCCGATGAATATGATGATGACGATATCCAAAACGAAGATGAACCAGAATTTGGATTTTTTTCAATTTGTCGCTCGAACCATTGCTCCGTCAATTGTCGGAAAAGTTTGTTGAGATTAACAATCGTCGAAGTCGTGACTCCATGCAACGAAGCTGTTCTTTCGTTGTTTCGTCCTGGACTTTCGACCCAATCCGCCGCTATGTGTACTATTTTTTGTACGGATAGTTTTTGTTCTTGGAAAAATGTGTTCTCTCTGTAATGAAGTTACTGGGTGAGTAGAATTAGAAGGAAATCACTTACCGAATCATTTTCTTTGTGATGATATTTGAAGTTTTGCATGAAGAGCATCGCCAGACGAAATGTAACGGAAGGGCATTATCTTTGACAAGACTCATCTTACCGTTGAGGCATTCTGGGCACTCTCGCTCATTCGGCACTAGTCCATATCTGAAAAGTCTCTTGAGAAAATCTCTTGGGAAAACAGAACAAAAAACTTACGTCGCTAGAAATCGCAGTGCTGCTTCATCCGATTCCTCGGTTCCATCGATGTTGCCAATAAAATCCGCGATGTTTCGAGATGTGAGCTCAGGAAGATTTGCGATAGCTTCAACTGGTCGCAGTTCCGAGGGCTGGACGATGGTGTGTCGCTGTGGTCGTCCTTTGTGAGCGGACGTCGAAGACAGTAACATTAGTAGCATAAACATAAACATTATCATGGCGGACAATGTATAAAAATGTGTGTGTGCCACTCGCTTATATAGGGCCTTTTAACGGGGGGGGGGGGGGGGTTTATGAACATGGTCACCGTCTACTTCGGATTAGGAATCCATGGGGACAATTTGTTTGGAAAGGAAAATGGTCGGATGGTTGGCCAGGATGGCCTGTGGATTTGAAACAACGGCTTCTTAACATGAGAAGAGATGAGACAGGAGCATTCTGGATGGAGCTGGATGATTTTGTGGCACGATTCGCTTCAGTCACAGTTTGCAAACTACGTATGGATTGGAGTGAACTTCGTGTTACCCAAGATGTTGGAA